TGTATAGATAAGAGGAGGTGATGAATAAGAGCCTTTTACTTGGTATTCTCAGAATTATGCCTGGTGCCTCCTCATTTTTTTTCACTTTTACGTTAATGTTCTCATAATATATTGGAAATTTGTAAATTTAAAAGAGCATACCAGAAATTTCAACATAATATCAAATTTTTTATTAGATTTATTGTTTTTACCGTGCCTGGGTGGGGGATGTCGGATATTTCAAATTTTCGATATCAAAAATTTGAAAATTTTGATATGAGTTAAAATTTTACAATATATCGGAAATCTCGAAATTTTCAGTATGAGCTAAAATTTCTGGAAATTTCAAATTTCATGTACTACTACATTTTTTTTTCATTTTTTCATAACTTTTCCTTAGAAAATTGAAACGATAAATTAGTTATCCGACTTAATATATATATAGAATAACTGTCATATATATGTATAAAAAACAAACTAAAATCACTTCCTACACAAATCTTTCCATTGTCTAAAGCGACATGCATATGCTGATTCTCATACTTTTGTATCATCAGTGCAATTTTGTCTCCAACAGTCAGTGACAGGAGGCAATGGGCAATCAGGTTTCAATTTTACCTGAACCCAATGATTGTTGTTGACAAAACCAACAACAATGATTGTATGCCTACTTGTGCACATGGATGAAGCTATGATAAGTGGAAAAAATATGATGTTAAGTCTCATGGAAAGGGAATCAAATACAACTTTGTATTTAGAAGCAATCAGGTAACTCATATCAGGAATCGTCATCCATTTTTTCCTATCCTGCACACCAAAATATTCTACTCGTAACGCATTTCTAATTATAGAGACAATGTCCTAAAACAACTTGGAAAACAACTGAGAGTGTTGATGAACTTGAGAATCTAATTGTGTCTGAACCAAAGACCATAACTCTTCATCTCATCCTAATAAAGATGAAATACAATGGAAACCACAATTTCCATCATTCTCAAAATCAATAATTTCATCGATGTATGGATGAAAGAAAGCGGGAAACTGTGACAAGTATTTATCTCTTGAAGATTTTGTGAAAGGTTGCCTATCAATCGGGATACTTGACGATTGACTTCCAGTTGGTTTTGTGTGTGATCTCTTTGTAGTCTGACTCCCTTGCGAAGCCTCACCATATTCCCACTGGCTTCCAGTTGGTTTTATGCATTATCTCTTTGTAGCCTCACGATGTACATCACTCTCCTGACCCTTTTCTACTCTTCTTAACTCCCCTTTTTGGCTTGTACTTCACTGTGGTGGATACATTGAATTTGTGGATGGATATGTTAGATCACAAACTTTTTCTTCAACACCCTCTGACCTACAATATCCAAAGTACTGAAATATGTATTCAACTATTCACACTCTTATTCTAAATTCCACTTTGTACTACTCTCATCATGACTGGCTTCGTGTTCTAATGAAACAACCACACCTCTTTTGGCTTGAACCAACAAATTTTACCATTTCTATTTCCTTTCCAATGAGTTGTATACATTGTCTTGAGACAAAATCATGTTACTTAGCATAAAATGAGGTGCTATACCGATGCTCAACATTGACAATAATTTTTTTGAAAATACACTCTGATGGAACCTAGTTGCAACTTCAACATGGTGTTCAACACATCCCAACTTCAGCATAAATCACCACGACTTGAAGTCAACATGCTTTTTAGTCTCCAATGAGTAGACTCCATCCTAAAATCCATAAACAGAAAACATGTTTCAAATTGTTTTTAAAACATAAACATGAATAATAATAATAACATCAAACTGTCATGATATGTGTATCTATTTGTTATTGTGTTTCCTAAATGAGTTACTCTGTTAGTCCATGCAACAACAAATCTTTCTTTATAAGGTATTAACCATGTTTCATTCACATACTTAACAAATAATGGGATATCACCACAAACACTTTCAAAGTGCTTGAAGTGTACATCAAACTCATGTTCTGTATTTGAATACATGATGTTGTTCATTGATCCATGATATGTTCTTGTCTTTCTGATTTCACGTACTCTTTAAATTTCATGCTCACGTTTTTTGAAATATAGAACGAATACAACATATGAGTTGCATTTGGAAGCATGGATTCCATGGTATTCATTAATGCAAGTTCTCGGTCTATCACCACAATCTTCGGTAGCACTTTCTATGAAAAGAATAACTCTTTGAGCTTCTCCAGTGCCCGTGTGAAGTTCTCCTCCTTTTTATGTTCCAAATAGTTAAAGGCAACTGAAAATATCAACTTCATTGACGTAACACCAACAATCTCAAGCAGTGGTATCCGATACCTACACGAACAAAATGCACATAACCAAACATCTCACTCAACATCTACAACATATTTTAGGACGTCAAAAGTAAAGTTCTTACCTATTTGTCTGTACGTGTAATCAACAATTAAAACCAAATGAAACATATTTAACAACTTCACAGAATCAGGATGTGTCCAGAAGATATCAGCTACAATATATGAGTTCTCCCTATATCTAGTCCAACACATGTATTTCTCTTTGTGAATAAGGCTCAATAACATTTGCATTTTGTCATTGAATCTATCTTGCTCATTTTGTATGTTGATCTAGCTTTATATATCTGGGTAATACTCATGAGGTTTTCTGGATCTTTGTCTTTCAAAACAGAAATTATGTATCTTGGAGCCATATTGTACTTCGTCGTGTCATTCACCAACTTTCTTTCATGGTCTTTTAGACGTCACAATATGTCATGACCTTCCAAATCCTTATCTAGTCTATGATTGAGCATCCCGCATCTAACCATCACCTTCCAACCGATACCACTTAGAATAGATCTCAGCCTAAACGAACATTTAACCTTCATATATTATAAATTCCACCAGAGGAATTAGTGTGTCCAGATGTATTTTTTCTTTTATAATTTTCTCCTCTCTCACAGTCCATAATTAATTTATCATCCCTCCCTCGCATTCTATTAGGAGAATCGAAACGAACAGTAATAACAACAATACCATGTTGTTTACCAATAGATTGTGTCCATGCTAAAACTTCAGATAGAGAATTAAAAATCTGTTAATTACAACATATAATTATTAAATTTTATCAATTTCATAAATGACGGAAAACAAATAAAACGATATTAATTCAATATAAAATATATAGTATCAAGAACTCCATATAATTTGTACACAAATCCGTAGAAGAAGTTGCTGGCTCTGAACTACACTGATACAAAATTTCATTTGCAAACATAGAAAATTTTAGACTACTGCAAAATTTCTATTATACCAAAAATTTAAAATTTTTGATTGTATTTCATTCTAGAAATTCCAAAAATTTCTAATATATTTTCTAACTTACTTCTAAATTGCCTCTGAAATTTTATAATTTTCAATAAAGGACTACCAGAAAATTTTAAAAATACAAATAACTTTTTATGAATGCACAAGTTTTTTACCAAAAATTTAAAAATGCTTAACGAAAATTTAGTTTTTTATTACTTGACTAGTAGTAAAAGAAAATTGACAAATAATAACAAGAATATTTTAGAAATAAAAAAAATTAAAAATATGTCGGACATAATATGAAGAGTGTCAAATTAAATTATCGAACTATAAAATTATAAGATTTTTTAAAATTATAATAGCAGAAGTCTAATTGGAGTTTAAAAAAAATTTATGACATTAATTATGAATTAACTAGTTGTTGACTTTGTTGTTTGAAGGAGTAGAATATGATGGGTGATGCATTGGTTTTTTTAGTGTATGCAATGTTAAGAACAACTTGCGAGTCCACATATTTTTATAGAAGAACGTTTGCATTTTACTTAGTCCACATATTTTTTATCACACCACAATATTTGAATTATATAGAGAAATAATATTCTTACACTAATATATTACACAATAAATAGTAAAATATTATAATAATAATTAATTTTAAAATATATATATATTCATGTTTTTGATATATTTAATTTTTCAAATTATATGATACAGTGTGATTAATCAACTTTATAATTTTATTAATCAATATTTTATATTTTATTAATCAATTTTATTTTATTGTTAAAAATTATTTTTAATATTTAGATATATATTAAGTATCTTTATAATTTTATTAGTCAACATTTTAACATTTTAATTTTAAGAGCATGATTATCGGTGTTCTTTGAGAGTTTCTACACATTTATTAAAGAAATTGTGTCAATAATAAATAGATATTTTCACGTTTCTGAACTAAAGCACGTCTTCATACTAAAGCACGCTTCTACACTCCAATTAAGTGGGTCATGATAATAAATTAATAAATAAAATTGTAAAAATATAGTTGATTTGTTTTAAATGTGGGACCCATTTTAGATTTTTTGATGAGTTACATAGATATTTGAGAATTGTAGATGAGTTGTTTAAAAAATTGAGAAGTGTGAAATAATATAAAAAATTATATAGGTCCCATTTAAAGAACTCAAATGAATATGATGGATGTGGATGCTTTAATTAACCAATTTTATTTTATAATTAAAAATTATTTTTAATAATTGAATATTTATTAATCAATTACATCAGTTTATTAATTAATTTTTTATTTTTTATTAATTAATTTTATTTTATTATTAAATTATTTTTAATATTTATGTGTTTATTAACCAATTTTATTATTTATTAATAATTTCTTTATTTTTTATTAACTAATTTTATTTTATTATTAAAAATTATTAGTCATGCACGATATACAGTTACTGTTTATTACAATTTTTTAATTTAAAAAAATAATATTCATCATACAAATATGATAAAAAATACATATGACGTAGGTATTGATGTAATAATTTGGCGCTAACTTACATAACTTGTTTGAAACTTTCTTTTAAATATTAGTATAAAATATAAATAGATAGATATGTTTCCTAGTGACGTGGCTCTTGGCGTGTGTGGCTCCTAGATTTATTGTCAAAACAACACAAAAACAGAACAAAACAAAAAAAAAAGAAGAAAACATGGGTGCTGTAGCATCAACACCATCTATTGCAACAGAATTAGCACTACCCGTAGCTAAAGTTACAGGCATTTTCATCTATCCAGTTAAGTCATGCCGTGGAATCTCTCTTCCTTCTGCTCCTGTCACTCCTTTTGGTACCTTTTTTTTCCTTTTTCTTATGCTTTTCTATTTGAATTTAATTGCAGCTTTTTTATTCAATGTTTTTACTTGTTAGGAATTCGGTGGGATCGACAGTGGGTGGTTGTGAACTCGAAAGGGAGAGCACGCACACAAAGAGTTGAACCAAAGCTTGCTTTGGTTGAGGTTCAACTTCCTCCTGAGGCTTTTCTTGAACATTGGGAACCTACCACTGATTCCTTTATGGGTATGTTACATTTTTCTGTGTTTATATATTTTATTCATTAACACCTATGTTTCTTGTTTTTACTTATATGATAATGGTCTCCGCTAAAAGTTCCAAGTTTGATGAGTTAAGAGTACTTAAGTATGTTTTATAAGTGAGAGTAAATCTCATCTTAAAATTCAGTTTTATAGGGATTGAGTTAGGCTCAACCTAACTTCTAAGAGTATCGTGTGACCTGAGTGTCTTAAGCATGTGATTATGAGTTTGACAAGTTAGAGAAGTGTTTAAATGAAGCACTTGAACTAGCCTTTCCTAACTTTGACCAAGTATTCCAAATTTGGTGTGATGCTTCAAACATTGGAATTGGAGCTGTTCTAAATTCTGAGGACTATCCTATTGCATTCTTTAGTGAGAAACTTAACACTGGTAAAACAAGGAGTTTTATGCCATTGTTTGTGCAAGATAAGCACTACAAGTGGCATACATTCAAAGAAGTAGACTTGGTATGAATACACTTGCAGAAGGAACAGTTTCCTGATAAACCTAATGCCGAGTTATCCCAAGGAGCTTATGGTTGTTTTAGATTTGTGCAGAAGATACATGACAATGCGTAATCATGGAGTCCCCGCAACTTTCAATGTGGCTTATCTTTCACCATACTTTGAAGATGATGAAAATATTGACTCAAGGACAAATCTCTTCCAACCCGAGGAGAATTATGTGGAACTTTCTAGAACTATTTAGAACACTATGAAACTTAAGAGAATATTAGTAAATAAAAATATAATAGCTATGACAACTTCGTTAGTTCTAGAATCTTCTAGTTACATGAACTAGACTAGTCTTAATATCTCTAGATTTTTCTTGTAATCATGAGGCTAAGCGGGCAGGGTGTGAATCTTGAGCATGTGAGACTATTTAGTCTCTAGGGATTACAACAGAACTATGAATACTTGGTGAAGAAGTAACCCTCATTGTGAATTAATGATGTTAGACGTGCAAAGCCATGAAACGTGACGTGATTTGGGGTAGGGAAGGGGGTGGGGTCTTCTATCCCTATCTCACTTTTTCCAACCACAAGGAGATATAGATAATTTGGAATCCCTAATCAACATCACATTGGCCATTATTGTACATATATTGTTGGATTTAAGTGACTGGTTAATCTCACAATGATTATAAATGAGTTAAATGTTGAACGTAGAAGAGATATTATTTCATTAGGTACATGGATCTTCTAACTTAACTGTTTTCAACATCTATTTTTTTCATCCAATTTAAAACTTCAAACTCACTTGACACATCAACAATATTGCCCTTATCTCTTAGTAATCCTAGATCATCAGCCTGTTGTTGCTCCCGGTGCTCCAACAACTTCAAATAAATAAAGATTGATGAAAAATATATTTTCGCCTTATAGTTCTTCAAAGGGGAAAAAATTATATTAATGAGAAAAAGACAGATATCACAGCTGGGTAGAGCATATAAGTTATATGCTTTTAATTTAGTGGGGCTATCTGGTGACCCGGTCTATTTGCTTATCATAAATAGAAAATGTAAACTCTTTTTGAACAACATCCAAAAGAAGACGTGAAATAAAAGTAATTGATACCTGAATAAATGTGATGTGAGCTAGTGTCAAATACGTTAAATGCTTGCATAAACTGCTGGCAGTGAAAGAACTTCCGCCTCTTTGTCACCATCATAATCTTCATAAAGAATCCTCAAAATCAAAATTGGTATAAAGCAAAATGAGTGACTCGTCCACTTCTTATGATAAACCCCAAAAATATTACTTTTTCTTTAAGAACGTTGAAGCCTAACAAGCCAGGACAGTGATTTATTGTTTCTGAACTAGAAGTGTACAAGACAGCTACATGAAGAAGCAAAAAATGTGGTATGATAGATGGATCTTATAAGGCATGACTAAGTGTTTGATTGAGTTTATGAAATAGCTTACAACCTACCTATAACATCTTCTGAGCTTATTTGTATAAACTTATATGATAAAATTATGAAAAACAACTCATGTGGAAATTCTTATGGATGTAAACTCTTACGCGCAATTGACTTGATAAGTTATTATTGGATAAATATTAAATTAAGCAGTTTCCAAATGCACACTCAATTCAAACAAGCTTGACCTCAAAAGTGTCCCCTCCTGACTGTTATTTGAATTAAAGCTCAAGTATTTCTGTGTTTTGTTTTTCATATTGTGCTTAAATTCCATTCTTAATTTTACAGATGCTTTGCTTTCCTTCTGTTCTTAATTGAGAGAATAAAAAAATTGCAGTAGTTGTTGAAGCACTGAAAGACTTTTGATTTGCGTATTCTTCATGATTGTGATTTTCTTTTTTCTTCTTCCTTTGTTTAGTTAATGAATAGTGTCTCTTTTTTCATTTTACAGTGTTGAAAGCACCTGGAATGGAACCTCTCAAAGTTTGTTTGAACAAACAGCAGTATGAAGTAGCGGATGATATTACCGTCTGGGAATGGAACGGCCCTGCCTGGGATGAGGGAGCCGGAGCATCGCAGTGGTTCTCGGATTACTTAGGATCTCCTAGTAAGCTGATCCGGTTCAATACAGGTAACGTGTTTGAAACCTTAAAGAATAAGAAAACGGTGATAATAATGTTTAGAAGGATGTGTTACTTTAGACATGTTAATGATTGGTAAAGGACTTTATTAGAAATTTGGATTGGCCGAACCTAACTCTACTCTAAAAAACCGGCTTGTAAGGTGAAGACTATCTTCACTTATAAATATACTTTCAGGTCATAGCAGACACTTGATAGTAGATAGCCCGACGAACCTTGGATACGTTGAAGCCATATCTCATTTAATATAGGACTCTTAGCACATACCATATTGAATTTGAGAGCACATGAATATTACTAGGATTAACTTGTTGCTCTTATAGTAAATGTTGTTTAATATAGTGTGAACAAAATTCAATTTAACATAGGCATGTAATGCACAATGATTCCATGAATCGCGGTCATATTGTGCATGACATAAATAGCCATGATAACTCTAAAGTAATGTTTACAAATGCAGCTTCAGAAATTAGAAAAGTAGACCCTGATTATGTCGAGGGACAGCAGATGACCTTGTTCAGTGATGGTTATCCATTCTTACTCTTATCTCAGGTCAGTTGCAGTTGGGAAACAGTCGAAATTTACTTATTTAAGTTTTTGATTTTTACTCGTCATTTATTGCTTTTAGGAATCACTGGATGCACTAAACAAGCTTCTAGAGGAACCGATACCTATAAATCGTTTCAGACCCAAGTATCAATTTGTTCATGTCTTATGGTCTCCTGTTGTAGTATTTATATTGTATAGGTTACTAGTTTAGATTATATAATCGAGATTTTGATGGCACATGGTGCAGTATCCTTGTTGAAGGCTGTGAACCAAATGCTGAAGACTTGTGGAGAGATATCAAGATAAGCAGGTTTTCATTTCAAGGTGTCAAGCTGTGTGCCCGTTGTAAGGTAGGAAACTAAGGAAACTAATCAATGTTTAGCTGTTATTTCGAAATCTAGTTATGCATCCGATCCAACTTCCATTATTGATAATGCTTATATTATGGTCAGGTACCAACGGTCAATCAAGAGACGGGAATACCTGGAACTGAACCATATGAAACTCTCGTGAAAGTCAGGTCTGGCCAAGTCTTGAGACCAAATGAAAAAAACAAAAACAAGGTGAGACATTCAGTCATATAATTTTCAATGAATGTCCCTTTGGTCTCATTGATGTCAAATGACATGTGAAATGCTTGTGCAGATCTACTTTGGTCAGAATTTAGTGTGGAACTGGAAAGATTCTTCTGCTAAAGGGGGTGGAAATGTGCTTAAATTAGGAGATCCTGTTTATATTATCAAAAAATTCTCTTCTCTAGCCGAAGCAGCTGCTTAAAAGACTATTATGAGACAAACTTGTCAAAAAATTCTATTGTCTAGCAGAAGCAGCTGCTTAAGGGGATATGATGAAATTAAGTGATTATACTTATATGATTGCTAGACATTTATTTGACTAGTTGTAAATTGTAATGCATCTACAGTCTTGTATCCTCTAATTAATAACATGACAATAAGGATCATGCAAAAAAAATTTAAAAAAGACTTGCTGAATGTATTGGATTGAGATTTTAATAGACTATGGGCATGTTTGGATGAATTTATTTGAGTTTATCTAGTGGCATTAATTTTGTTATACTGATAGGGAGACTTAATTATAACAGTTTATGACATTTTTCATAAAAAAATTTTGAATTTTTTTTTATAAATTCTATAAGATAGCAAATGAAAATAACTTATAAAAATATATAAAAACAATCAATTTTTTATAAAAATAGCTTATGTAAGCTTAATCATAAGTGCTTATTTTGATAAACACTTGTGCTATAAACTTCTAATAAGTTGTTTATCTAAATATGCTATTTATCCAAATATTCAAGTGTGAAGTTGTTTCTACTTCAACATATTTGAGCAATAAATATCCACCATGAGTAGACTTAAATACATCTACAGAGATTTGGAGTGGAAAACTAGTATACTACTCTAATTTGAAAGTTTACGAGGCTTTAGCATTTATGTATACCGAGCCAGACAAGTTTGGTGTTAGGGATGTAAAGTTTTTCTTTATTGGTTATCCTAAGTATGTGAAGGGAAACAAGTTTTGGAAGAGATGGAACATTCATGATCAAAACGTATCATAAGAGATATTATTTTTGATGAGACTCATACAATAATAAAAAAAACAAAGACTTTGGATGTGAAAGACTCAAAAACTAAGGTGAAGAAGAATCGGTTTAACGCAGAGTTCTCTATTAGCAAGATTAGACATGAGGATGATGTTGAGGCTCCCACTTCTATTTCTAGGTAAGTGCAACCTAGAATGACTCTAGGTTATCAGTTGCTTTGGTAAGGAGGAAAGGAGGAAAATTATACCACCTCAAATGTTGATCTTATTTGTTATTCTTTAAATAAGGCTAAAAGTTTGCAAGACTAAGAACCAAACACCTTTATGGAGGCATTTGAAGGCAATGAAAGTTCTTTAAATAAGGCTAAAAGTTTGCAAGACTAAGAACCAAACACCTTTATGGAGGCATTTGAAGGCAATGAAAGTTAGAAACGGTTGAAGGCAATGATTGATGAGATGCATCCGTTGATGAATAACCATACTTAAAAACTTGTGCAATTATCTTATGGATATTTGTATGGGTTGAAACATAGCTCTCAAAAATAACCAATCACAATTTATTGTTTTTTTTAAATTTTTTTTTAAAAAATAGCAAGTCTAAGTGGATTCTCAGTTCAAGCATACACAGATCCTAGAGCTAATGTCAGAATCTCCTTTTGATGGTGAATGTCAGTAATGTTGTTGAAAGAAGAAACCACTAGATGGCATTGATGGAGAAAAGATAAGAAATAGGATATGAATTCCAGGATATAGAATGCAGGAAAGGATCCATTTCCTATAGTTCAACACTGAAGAATAGTTAGTTTTGTAAGTTTATTCTAATAAACCATGCATCCAATATTTTACCCTCTCACACAAGATACCAAGCAAGGTTCAATACTTAAAACTTAACAGCATTAGATAGATAAGAGAAGAATAAGAAATTAAAACTAAGAGCAAACCAATATCCAGTAAATAATCATATTCATATCCCTACCATGATTTTATTGAGTACATCACTTTTGTTATAGTATACAAAAAACAAATGGCTGTGATTTTTACTACAGATAATCAAGTTTTTAAAAATCAAATATCAAATAAAGACTGTGTTTCTGATTGTACATGAGTTAATCGGATAAACAACAATAGCTGACACTCGGTTTCTTTTTCATCAATCAGCCCCACAATTTTCTCACCTCATCTGTATACTCAGATGTGAATGATAACTAGAGTCAACTACAGAATTTCGATAATATTTTCCTTTGCAATTCTGTACATTGTCATCCAGTAGCAATCTTGTTCGCGTATATCCCCATTGACTTTCATTTGCCTTGCAAAAATGCAATCTGCAGAATACTTGTAAATTGTATGAAATTATTTACTGGCCAATTAGTGAGAGTGTACATTACAACCAATTACTTTGACTGATCCCTGTTGAAATCCACTCTTATAGATCAAAGTTGATTGCATATTGAACACTTTAATCCTTTCAGTAACATTCTCACCATTGTATGTTGCAAAGATTAAATATTTTAGACAGAAAAGCAAATTATTCTAGTGATTTTGTAATGACTAGGAGAGGTTTTAACAGTTTCATCGGTTAAGTGGTTGTATTCTCATCTGTCACCTGTTTGGCATTAACTCTGCGCACATGCTACCCTAGAGGTTGACCTGTTGGTGAAAGCTTGAGACCTGAGAGTGTGCTCCTCTCAAAGTCTCAGGCTCGAATCTTGCTAGGTGCTAACAATCTCCGTGTTGGGCCACTAGTTGACGGTGAGATTGATATTAGTCTGTCTCAAGGCCAGATACCAGGTTTTCAAAAAAAAACACTGATCACATACCGGTATCTTCATGCAGGCACTAAGAAAAGTTTTGTCTCAAACACATCATTGCATATAAACTTTGAAAGTTTGAGGTATGTTGTTTGATGGTCTGGATCCATAAATTCCTGTATCTGGAGTTCCTTAGCTTCAAAAAGTTGTATTTGAATAACATATTTCAGGTATCAGCAATGCAGCCTGCTCCAACATTCACTGATGGTTTTACGAACTTTCGTAGGTTTGCAGAGCTGTTGAACAGCTAAGGCCCAAGTAGAAGGTTTAAGCAGCAAAAATTTCTGAAGCATGACTTCTATGATATTGGAAGCACCAACTGTTCTCTGTCGCTTAATTAATCGGACTACAAGCTCGTCTAGAAACTCTCTCCCATCTTGAGGTGGGTCCATATTGTCTCTTAAAGTTTTTAAGAAAATCTCACAAGTAATAAAATCAGGATCGCAGCCTTGATCTAACATAGTATTTAGAATATCAATAGCACGGGAGACGCTATTCTTCGTGCAAAAAGCATTAAGGAGTATATTGTACGTAACCACGTCTGGTTGTAACTCTGGCTCATGACAAAGCATCTGATGGAAAAGTTTTATCCCTTGTTCTAATAACTGGGCATTACAAAAGCCGTGAATCATTGAACTATAAGCCACAACATCTAATTTGATTCCTCTACTCAACATTTGCTTCCACACCATTAAGGCCTCCTTAAGCCTCCCGTTCTTGCACAATCCGTTGATAAGTATACTGTAACAAACTTCGTGATGATTACAATTATTATCTGTCATCTCTTTCCAAACAAGAATAGCTTTATGATTATCACCTGCTTCAAAATAACCCCACATCAAGGAGCTATAAGTGAAAGAATTCGGAATTTGACCTTTATTCTTCATCTCTAATAAAAACTCTTTGGCTTCATCTGTCTTCCCTTCTCGACAAAGGCCATCAATAAGAGCACTATACACTATCGTATTCGGTTCACATCCTTTTTCAACCATCTCCTTCCACAATTGCATTCCACGCTCATATTTCCCCTCCTTGAACAATCCACTAATAAGAGACGAATAAATAAACTCATTCCCACGGTGACCTTTCTCTTCCAACGAAACCAACACACGCACCCCATCTAAAGCTCTACCATGCTTAACAAACCCATCAACAAGTGTTCCAAAAGTAACATCATTGGGAACACATTTATTCGACACCATCCGATTCAAGAGACTCACCGCCTTCTCCAACTTCCCCTTCAAACACAACCCATGAACAAGCGAATTATACGTCACTTCATTCGGAACACAGCCCTTAAGAAACATATTATCAACCAGCTTAGACGCACGCACCAAATCACCTTTCTTACACAACGCACTAATCAAAACATTAAACGCAACCGGGTTAGGAAACGTACCTTCAATCTGCATCTCATCCAACAAGGAAACCGCCTCATCAATTCTCCCAACACTACACAAACCATGCATCAATGTAGAATATGTATAACTATCCGGAACACAATTCCTAACACTAATCCCTCGAAAAACCTCAACAGCTTGATCAACCAACCCAAGTCTACACAAAGCCTTAATCACTAAATTAAAAGTAAGTCCATTGGGATGAACATGATTAAAACTGTTGGAATCAATAACATGAGAATAAAACTCCAAAGCACGGTTAAAATGACCCTCTTGGATAACAACATTGAGAACAGAATTGAAAGATTTAACAGTTTGCCTACAGTGAAACTCAGCACCCATTCTATGAAACAAGTCCAGAGCTTTTTCAGGTAAATGTGCTTTCCCATAAGCTTTAAACATGAGGATGAAATTCTTCTCGATAAAGACTCTATTTTCGCGCTTCATTCGATGGAGGAGTAGTTCCAATGAGTGAAAATCGAAGGTGGAAGATAGATTTTCGATGAGGGAGTAGAAGGATAAATCGCCTAATTTGTAAGAACCCCATTTGTGGGAAGTGGTTGATTTGAAGATTTGAGGTGAAACTGGAGGGGGGTGGGGAAAGTTGGAGGAAGAGTAAGAGAGAAGGGTTTGGGTTTGGGTTAGTTGAAGTGTGTGTTTGAGGGTTTTGGGAAATGTTGAGCATTTTGGCATGGCATGAATCAAACGAGGTTTGGTTTGGTTTGATAGAGGAAGTGGTTTGTGTTTGAAATTTGTGAGTACAACGTTTGTTGTTGTGGTGGTGTCTTCTCTCAAGTCATACGTATATTCAACGGTTCCCGAAAGGTTAATTAAGAAAAGAACTTCTCTCCTCTCTACTTTCTCTCTCACTCTAAATTTAGACCTAATACTCAATCTTGGCAAACATTCATCTCTCATTAATCATTATATAGTTTTGTTAAATTATATCATCTCAACATTTATATTATACTATAGTTTTGTTAAGATATATAATCCCAGGAGTCACGATATACTCTGGGCATCAGGATTGAATAAAAAACATTAATATGATGTATATGCAGAAAAATTCTTAGTTACACGCAGATATAATACATAAGATTGAATTTTTTTTTGGAATAATCAAGTATTAAAAAAAATCGTAAATAGCCACGTTTCAGAAAAAAATTACGCAAATAACCATGTTTCAGATGACTCTTCAAAGGAGGAGTCATCTGACTTGGCGCCTCCACCAAGCTTTTAGTCCTAGGCGCCATCTCACTTGGCGCCTCCTCTCTCTTTTAGCCAAGTGAGATGGCGCATGCACTTTAAAAGTGAGAGGAGACGCCATCTCACTTGGCTCCTAGGGCAAAATGCTATTTTTATAAATAATTCGTCCGTTTCTCCGTCATTTCTCACACTTTCTCGCACTGTTTTCTTATTTTTACTCTGTTATTTGCGTCATGACATCGCCCATGATATTTACCAGAGATGGTTACGTTATCTTCTCCGCCACAAAACCTGCGATGAAAATGAAATTCTGGCACATTCACTCCATGGAGCGTCTGAAGCGGGAGTTGATGCGATGGCTAGAAGACATCGTGGAGGGGGAAAAATTTGAAGGAACCAGCGAAGACGAACAACAACCTCACATGCGACAGGAAGACCTAATGTTTGGTTGGAGGAAGTCAAAACAGACAGCGACGTAATGTTGATGATGCATGGGTCGGATGATATTGTTTTAACAGTTGTAATTTCGTAGACAGAATATCGTGTTTTTTTCTTGTACGCGCAATGTTTATTGTAACAAATATTGTTAACAAAAAACCCTAATGTTTACAACATAATAAAGGAAAGATTTTATGTAATACAATTTTTATGTGGTCGATGCAGTAGCCCGATTCGGACAATTTTTACGATTGTGTCCGACCTGGCGACATAAACCATACTTTCTTTCTAGCTTGTCAAGGGAGTCCATTTCGGTTGTGATGTGCTTACTTTTGGGATGACCATTTTTATTCCTTCGCATTTGGTCATTGTGTCATACTATTTCACCGTCGTATGCAGGCAAATAATCTGGTTTTGCTACCAAAGGGAAGCTGTTGTTGTAAACGTTGAGCAACGTTTCAGATTTATAAATGTGTGACAGAAGTTGTAGCGCGTCTTGATGAGTATAAGCACACGCGGCAATGACATGAGAGCAAGGCATACGAAAGGCTTGAAACTTGCCACAATCGCACCAACGAGAAGGTAGTACAACCCTATATTCTTGTCTTGACAGGCCCTCGTTGTGGTCGATTGTCTCTTTCACAATGAAGTTGTGGTTGTGTCGGTCAAACCGTATAACCATATGGGTGTTGGATTTGGCACTTTCTGCCTTAATATACTTCATGCAGCTTTCACTTCATAATTGTCCAGATTGCAACACCGCATTCCACATTTCACCTCTTTTGGCAAACAACGAAGCCATCCTAAAATACGTAGATTTTACCAAAGCAGTGATCGGGAGGTTTTGTATGCCTTTGAATACCCCATTCATCGATTCAATTAGATTTGTTGTCATGTGCCCCCATCTTTGGCCATTGTCGTATGACCTAGTCCATTTTTCTATCGGAATATTGTCGATCCACCTACCTTCTTTCGGATTTGAAAAATGGATCTTGTTGCGGTAATATTTGAATGTGGGTTATGTCAATGCATATCCCGCATTCATAACCACTTTCCTTAGTGTTTTGTCTTTGATCTCCCTCGTGAAATTTTGGACGATATGTCTAACGCAATAGACATGCGTAGAAGAAGGGTCATGCCAACCGTTTGCAGGATTATTGTATGCACTTTCAATGGATGCATGTCTATCCGAGATCAAACAGAGATCTGATTGAGGAGCCACGTGTGTTCGCAGATTTTTCAGAAAAAAGCTCCAAGCACCACCGGTCTCCCCCTCGACTAGGGCAAAGGCAATTGGGAAAATGTTGTTGTTGCCATCTTGTGCAACTGCCATCAGTAGCTTGCCTTTGTATTTCCTATACAACCAAGTCCCATCAATTTGTATAATTGGTTTGCATGATGCAAATCCTGTGATGCAAGGTTGAAATGCCCAAAACACTCGACTGAATATTCCATTTCCATTTAGTTGACTACCATCCGGGGCGTATGCTGGCACTATTTCCAGAATGTAAACAGTACCCGGAGAATAAGTCTGGAGTGCATTTAGGTAGCAAGGAAGTTCTTGGTATGACTCCTCCCAGTTTTCGTATACCTTTTCAATCGCATTGGTCTTTGCTAACCACGCCTTACGGTAAGACGGAGTATAGTTAAAAACTATAGTGATGTAGGAGATGATGGTTTTCACCTTCAAAGATGGATCGTTGCTGACGAGTGGTAGGATTTCTTGACAAATGAGATCGTAATTAAGTTTTCGATGATCCTGTGATTGAGTAGAACTGACACAAGTGTGGGTAGATATGGAACCTATGACCCAACAATCACCTCTTAATTTGTATGATGCAGTGAGCTTGAACATACAATCAGGGTGGACACACTTGATCTTGTACCTTTCCGGATTTACACGGTCCACCTTAAAATCGACCGAGTTAAGCATGTGGAATTTTTTGATGGCTCTGATACATTCTTCTCTGTTACGAAACTTGTCTTTCTCTTTTAAGTTTTCATCCGACTGCATATACGGATTAAAAAATAAATCAGAAGACGGTTGATCTCCGCCCATGTTGAAGTTTGTCATGTGTGGAGGTGGTGTGTAGATCTCTTTTGCAGGAATACCAGGTATCCCATCGTTGTCAGAATCATCATTGACCATTTCGTCAAACTCTAACTCGTCATCTTCTTCTTCTTCATCAACTGCATCTACCTCTGCTTGTTCGGTCTCCAAAGGATCAACCACTTCTGTCACCTGAAGCTCTCACAGCATAATGTACAACTCAATAGAGTCGTACCCGGAATACTCATGAATGGAAAACATATTCTGAAGATCCTCGTCATCTTGAACCTCAACCTTATAAAATATTATTTGGTTGTTACCAAAAAAAAAACTGGATTCTGATAAAATATTTGTGTCACTGGGCCTCGTCCAAGTTTGGCCTCTAATCGTTTTTTGAAGTACAAGAAATTGGCTTTCTTGTTTAAACAAAATCAAATGTTGTCTGTGTCTCTAAACAAAAACCAGAGGTGGGACAAATGTATGTCTCACCGTTGAAATGTGCACTGATGACATATTGGGGTACAGAGGCCATTGCGTATGATTGTTTAAAGGTTTGAAGGTTTAAAGGTTTGGAGTTTATGAGTTATTTGAAGGTTTGAAGGTTTGATTGTTTGAAGGTTTGAAGGTTTGATTGTTTGAGGGTTTGAAGGTTGGAAGGTTTGAGAGATTAAGTGAATCAGTGTTTTGATAAATGTAAGACTAAATAGGTCATACAAAATTTGAATTAACTAAGGCTGTAACCTCTAAGGCTCCTCCCATCACGTCCAATAGTGTTACCTAGGCTGTCACCTAGCCTGCGCCTACTCTGTAACCCATGCCACCTCTTATTCGCCAATGGGGATGGTGACACCTTTCATTTTTGTACTCTTTCGCCAAGTCCAATGGTGCCTACCTTCACATCCAATAGTGTTACATGCATGCAGAGATGCCTTCTCCAAGGCTGTCACCTAGCATGCGCCTACTCTGCACCTACACTGTAACCTCTAAGGCTCCTCCCATCACCTCCAATAGTGTTACATGCATTCAGGGATGCCTTCTCCAAGGTTGTCACCTAGCTTGCGCCTACTCTGCACCTACACTGTAACCTCTAAGGCTCCTCCCATCACCTCCAATAGTGTTACATGCATTCAGGGATGCCTTCTCCAAGGCTGTCACCTAGCCTGCGTCTACTCTGCAACCCATGTCACCTCTTATTCTCCAATGGGGATGGCGACACCTTTCATTTTTGTACTCTTTCGCCAAGTCCAATGGCGCATACCTTCACGTCCAATAGTGTTACATGCATGCAGAGATGCCTTCTCCAAGGCTGTCACCTAGCACGCGCCTACTCTGCACCTACACTGTAACCTTTAAGGCTCCTCCCATCACCTCCAATAGTGTTACATGCATTCAGGTATGCCTTCTCCAATGCTATCACCTAGCCCGTGCCTACTCTGCAACCCATGCCACCTCTTATTCGCCAATGGGGATGGCGACACCTTTTATTTTTATACTCTTTCGCCTAGTCCAATGGCGCCTACCTTCATGTCCAATCGTGTTACATGCATGCAGAGATGCCTTCTCCAAGGATGCAACCTTGCCTGCGCCTACACTACAAGAGTGACACTTATCATGCATGCATGCACCAGCTACCACCTCACTTACTCTATGAAATTTTTTTGCCTATAAATACAGAGCATAACATACTTCTCTCGGACCCACAATCATCTCACTCTCTACTACAAACTCTTTCATAATCTCTTACAATTTCTAAGTCTTTCATAATATCAGGCATTTTCAACAATGGCTCTTCTCATAATGGGCGATTCTCACAGAGGCACAAGGGACAACATTGCAGCATTTGTAAGTTTCTTTTATAGTTATACATTTTTCATACTTCTGGTAATGCTTTGTTCATCTTACTTAATCTTACACCTTTTAGATTATTAACTCAGGATACCAAAAGATTTAGAATTCGGTCTCACAACTACCTTGCTCCCGACCCATTTATCGTACCATA